AAGATAGATTTCCTCACAACCCCGCATTATAAACCCCTCTGGCCTGCCCTTATTGCTCCTCCAAGCCCAAGCTTGGAGTGCTCTTCATACTGGGAACTCAGGCAAGACTGGCCACTGATTATAGATGTAAGCTTTCTTTGAAGTATCCTGGATAGAATAAGTTGGGATGAGACACTCTGATACAGGTCAGCTTTTCCAATTTAAGACTATTTTATTTGAAGCTACAGCTGGAAGAGTGGTCTGAAAGCACTTGTCTGCTACTTTTGAGCTTCCTTTTCTCTGTAAAATGATGACAGAACTCAGAGTATCCAACGGTCCTGGGGCAGGTACAGTTGTACCCATGATACAAACTACATTATACATCTCACTCCAGTGTTTGTTGATTTTGGAACCTGCTTTTAATACTAAATATCTATGACTGCTTTTGCACATATAATCTACATTTGCTAAAAGGAGCAAGACTCAGAAAGAAGTTCCTAGGCTGTGGTCTAGAGCTTCTGAAGTGCCCAGCAGCAAGACAAGTCGGGGTCAATTGTCACTTTCCTTCACATTCCTACTCCTGATATGAGTTAGAGAGAAGAAGTGATCTGGCTTGATGACAAGATAACATAAATTAAAAAAAAACAGGGGAAAAAAAATCCATGAGTTTATTTCCAGTTGGATCAGTTCCTGGTCCGGTTCACAGGAAAGCCTCTCAAACAGTTATGCCAGAACAACTGAGGAGGTAATGTGCTGTGACAGGAGTCACCAGTGCTGAAGGCTTTATTTTATAAAATTTGTCTCGCTTCTGTCTACAGTTTGAGCAAGGTCAAACTCTAAAAATGATTGCTCTGTTAAATGACCAGCGAATGGATTCACACCTCAGAGCTAGTAGGGTCTCAAAAGAAAATGAGGGACTAGGAGAGAAGGATTTATTTGTTCATCAAGTTATACTTTTATTTTTTCAGTTCTTATTAGCTTGATTTTCTCTGAAGTTTTGGCCAGCTGGTGATCAATTTTACATTTGCAGCTGATCCATATCAATATCTTGTCTTGTTTATATTTTCACTGAGAGGTAGTAAAGCATATTTTTATCAGATATATATTACAGTTAGTTGAAAATGTATAAGATGTTATAATTTAAATTTGTTGCACCCCATATAGGGACTCATGGAGGGGCTTTAGAGTTAAAATGTCAATTTGAACATTTGTAAATATAATGGCAACATCTCAGTTACTTAAAAGAAAAGAAAAAAATAAAATGAAACAAAAATAAACATACATAAAAAAAAAAATCTTTATGGTATTTTTACGGTTTTATCTGAAGTTTATCATAAGTGGCAAACCAAAGCTGTGGGTTTCTTTTTGTTTGTTGTTTTTTTTTTTTTTTTCCCTATCAGCTATGTTGTGAATTATATCTGAAAATATGGCAATTTAAGTATAAACAGACTAGAGCTCTTATCCTCAACCTTGCAGAGCTGCAGCACAAGGGTCCTTCTGGTGGATGACAGTGCTTTTCACAGGGGTGATGGATGCTCAGTTTTTTTCTCAGCCATTGGCTGCTAAAGCTAAAGCAAACGGTTGCACTTGCTTAAGAGGCTACCAAAAATGAGCCAGCAGACATCACCTCTTGGATGTGTGATGAAACTGTTCTGTCAGTTGTGCTTTTGCGTCTGAACTATCTCATCTGATGCTTTAATCCCAACTTCCTCCTCTTTTTCAGATAGTGAAAGTCAGCTGTCCTCCTTCATTCTTTTCCTTCTTCCTTTTCTTCTGCTCCTTCCTAAATCACAGAGTTTTAGGAGAGGATTTTTAGGTACTTCACTGTGTGAATCTTAAGCAGCGATATGGAGTATTTCCGTAAAGACTTCAAAAAGTGGAGTCTTTTTTAAAAAGAAGGCAAGCAAAAGCTTTTATTTTCATCCCGGGCTTCAAAGTGACTGAGCAAAGATCAGACTCCCAGGTACCTTCAACCATCCATACACATGTACTGTAAAGTCTTAATGAGAATTTGGGCTATATTTTGCTTACGTGGCAGGACAATAGTCAATCATCTGTTGAGTCAGAGCTGAGGCTTCAGAAAGAGGAATACCCTTACTTTTCTGTAATGGGTCACCAGCACATTCCTGAACTTTGAAACCATTCAGGAACAGTGTAGGTCAATCTGGTCTAATCAAGAAATATTTTATTGTGCAATCTCATTTTAAAGTGTAGAAATAAATTTTGCTATGGACCACTTGGATAATGAGAACTGTCATAGAAGCAGTGTCTTATATCTTCTAATTCAAACCTCTTCTACAAGTTGGGGAGCAATGAGATATGCAAAATCACAGAATTGTAAGGGTTGGAAGGAACCTCTAGACGTCATCTAGTCCAACCCCCCTGCCAAAGTAGGCTCCTGAGACCAAATTGCCCAGGTAGGCATCCAGGAGTGCCGTCAACATCTCCAGAGAAGGAGATTCCACAAACTCCCTGGGTAGCCCGCTCCAGTGCTCCGTCACCCTTACTGTGAAGTTCTTACACACACTTGTGCAAAATTTCCTATGTTTCAATTTGTGGCCTTTAATACAGGAATATGACGTGATGAGCAGTAGTTCACCGTGTTGCTAATGTCTCCTTTGGATATACCAAATGGTGAAGCTACATTTCCTATCTGATCTCTCTCTCTCTTTTTTTTTTTTTTTTTTTTAATAATTGTCTTCCAAAAATGTCTACCTGAACAGGAAACTTCTACTAAGAGGAAGCACAAAAGCGCAATAGGAGAAAATGAGTGGGCTGTTTGCACATCATAAAGCATTCTGGTGGAACTATGAGGTGCCGTTTTTTTTCATTTGTAAAATCACATTTTCTTTCTTTTTTTTTTTCTTTTTTTTTTTTTTTGAGCAAAATATCAAGCTAAATCTGCTAAGGATGTACAATGGGATGCTGAAAGAAAGAGAAAGAAGCACTGCAGAGAAATACGTATAAGAAGAACTTGGCTGTACATTTTGAGCCTGAGGCCTGAATTGCTTATTTTAGTATAAATTATTGCAATGAAGTTAAATTAGCTTTGCAGAGATAGTAAGGAATTGTACAGCTCTTTTTGCTTCTGCAGTGCTTCTTAGAATATCTGAGAACTCTTACTGATATCTTGGTTATTCAGCTCCATAATATTCCCTCAACAACTATCTGGTCATAAGTAGTGCTCTCTTTCAATTACTGAGTAGCATAACTCTACATTTGGGCTTCTATAAACTACTAAAATAGATAAAATACATAATTTGCAATCTTTCCTTTAGCTTTTTCTTCTAACAGTTTCCTAACCTGCTTTACTTATTGTCTATTACATAATATTTATATTCAGTCTCACTTTTCTTTTACTCCAGCAGGCTTTCTGTCATAGAATGGTTGAACTGGGAAGAGAGCCTGAAGATCATCTAGTTCTACATCCTCTGCCATGGGCAAGGATACTTACAATCCACTAAGTTCTGAGTATTTTTGTAAAGCATTCTTGAATTATCACACTTAACATTTTCTGTAGATGTTGGTTTCTGGTCTTCTAGGTCATGTTCTCATTGTTCTTAGTAACCATACAGGTGAGATCCACATACCCACCAAAATTCATTTATGGCCTCTTGTTTTCAATCACACCATATACCTGGCTCTAAGCAAATCCCTTGTGCCAGCATGTGGATAATCAGAGCATGTGAGCTGGATTTGGGCATGAGCCTTATACAGGCATGGCTCTAGATGTCATGTTATAAGCATTCTTGACATGCCAGCGTGATATCTGACATTTGTATGGGTATCCCCATGCTTTTAGCACTGCCCACATTGTCTTCTGTCTGGCATGTCACAACTTATGTAGTCATTGGGCAATGTTATCTGCCATCTGCTGGAGAATCTTCTAGCCACCTTACCCAAGCTAGTGTCTTGGCTTCATTGTTCCCTGGTGACTGCATGGACTGGTGTCCAAATACATGGTAGGCATATACTGTTCTTTGCCTAACCAAATTCTGGATAACCAACCATGTCTCTGACCCAGATTGGTTGGACATGGATAGTCCAATCCTGAGTGACCCACTGTGCTACTCTGTCCATCCCCTCTGGTGGATCAATAGTGTTCTCCTCAGGAATACCACTACCGTACGTCACTGGGCCTAGTATCTTTTGTAGCTCTTCTTTTAATGGTGAGGAGGACAAGTGATTTCACTGCCCCAGATGGGTAACCCAACATGCCACAGTTTGAGCTTGGGCCACTGCTGTCATAAGAATATGTGATAGGTCTTTCGCTCATCCTATGATCATCCTTTTCCCTCATTCCTATCTCTCTCATGTAATTCTGCAGTTCTCCCATAGAATTCCATAAATCACTATGGGTAGGTATACCTGGTTTATTAGGCCACACCAGTTGACAGTCACCCATAACCCACTGAATTAAGGAATGATTTTCCTCATTATGTATGTCAGTTACACATAATCACTGACTTAAGGCTGGTTGTGTTGTAATAGAGGCTTAGATGTTTTGGGGCTATTTACTAAAAACTTTCAGCTCCTATATCCCAGAGCCTCAACAAGCAGGTTGAGACACATTCCCTCTGCCTTTGCCAGAATTGTTGGACTAAGCCCATTAATTCAACAGCCACATACAGGCACTTAGTAACATGCATCATAGTTTAGGGAGGAAGCCACTCTTTGAGTGGCATCCCCACAGTTCTTTATTGGATTTTTTTTTAATTTAAGTGGCTATTGGCAAGATTTCTAGAGGGTCCAGTTTCACCAGAGCCTCTAGTTCAGGTTTTTTACAATTCTCTTTTACAATGTTGTCAAAGCCATAGGATTTCAATTGCTCATGGTCCCCTTCTGTATGGGAACAGTTGAGTAACAGCCTGAAACACTAACTGACCTCCTGGACAAAGGACGGGATCAGCCTTGGGAGCACAGGTGAAGGCAATTCACATGTGTGACTGGAAGGGGTGGAGCCTGGCTCCAACTCTCTTAAACTCCCCATTTAAGGGCTGACTACCATGGGGAGAAGAACTCTGTTTCTGAATATTCTTTCCTGCTGGAGCTTTCCTTTGTGAGCCTTGAATCTTCTGATATGGGTAAGCAGTCTTTTTCCCTTCCCTTGTAGCACCTTTCTATCGTGCTGATCCTCTCATCATATTGGTCTGCCCAATTGCTTCTCCTTAGTTCATGTGTGACAAGGTCTTGACTTCTTGTATTATGTTAATTTAGGTATGTTTGTTAGTACATTTTAGCTGTTTAACTCAATTGCATTGCAGTTGTTGTTTTTTTTTTTTTTTTTGTCCTTGAGATGTTGTTCTGAGGTATTTAAATGATTAAAGACTACTAACAGTGGCCAGAGTACAGTGGATGAGGCAAGTTGTCTTTGTTCATCAAAATATCCTTTCTAGACCCTTGAAATAAGTTATCTTCTAGGTTGGGGAGCTGATGATGTTTTCCCTATCCCCTAATTGGGTCCTCTCTTTCTACTATAGAAGCCAGCCTGTACAGCAGGGAGCCTGGGAACTCCAGTATGTGTCCAGGTAATTCATTTTCCAGGAAAATAGACTTTCTCCCATCCAAACTAATTTGCTACACCTTTTAACGAAGCCATCTCAGAATTTATTTTGTCTTTCATAGGTGCTCCTGTCTAGCTTGCCAAATGTAAAGATAAGTGATAGGACATACAACTGCTTTAAACCGCTTTCAGATCATTGAAGAAAGATAGGAGTTGCAATCCAGTAATAAAGAAGGAATTGCTTACCCCTTTCCAAGAATCAGGACTCACCAAACGCTCCAAAGGAAGAGATACTTCCCTAGCTGTTGTCAGCACTTAAATGAGGTTAGGGAGGGGCAGACTTTCAGGTCACAAAGGTGGATTGCTTCCATCTGTGCTCTCAGGGCTGACTACACCACTTTGCCAAGTACTCAATCACTGGTTCAGACCGTGACTTAATGTTTCTCATACAGGCTGATTCTGGCCTTTTATGGTTGTATAAAAGTACTTCTAATTTAGCAGATGTCCACAGTGGGAAGTACTTCTCCCATGAGATCCTGATTTACGTCTGTGTCAGAGAGACTAGAAATCCCAAAATTTGATCCGGCAGAGCAGAGATATTATAGACCCACTTCTTTTCTATTCTTGTGGTGATTCATTTTCTGTCTGGATGGGGAAATAATGCTATCTGTTATTGTGGAAGCTGTTTGAAAAAGGAGAAGGCCCTGAAGTAAGGCATTTTTTATAGCATTTAGATTTCTTCTACTCATGCAGCATCAACTCACCCTTATGTATCTGTTGCCTTAGACTTCGCTTTCTGCACAGAATGTAATAATATCTTAAACTTCTTGGTGTATTTTCTTTTGTATTGGGATAGTTGTACAGTATTTTGTCACTCTGAGTCACACTGTAACCAAATCAGCAGTGTAACCAAAGATGTTGTTATTCTGACACTGCTATATCATCTTTTAGGCTCCTCAAATCTTTTTGAACACATTTTCTTTCCAGGCAACTTAAAACTTAAGGATGTTTCTGACCACGCTTTTTTTCCCCCCACATTAGCTGGTTTAGAGTAGGAAGATCCATTTGGAGGGGAAAAACAACAACAAAACAACAAACAAAATAAAACATCAAAATGCTCTTGAGAGCTCATGTCTGATGGGACTTTATCTTACTGCTTCTACAGCTTCATCACAGGCCTTCTCAATTCGCTTTTGTATTAATCACAACATTCCCAATTTGAGTGAGTTTGCACTACTACGAAATCTAGGATGTACAGCTGGCTAGGGCATAGCAATAATAACAAAGGGAGCCAGAAGGCCCAGAGATGTCTTTCTTTATTAGTTTCTTTCATTTCATTGGCTTTGTTCCCTGCTACACTACTCCCCATGCTATTGACATGAAAATTTAAGCATGAATAATTTGCATAGAACAGAGTAATACTCAGTTACAGAGGTAAGATATTGTATCAGAAACACTTCTATTCTGCTTTCCTCAAAAGCCATTTACTTGTACTATTTTTATCATGAATATGTGCACTGAAGAGACAAAATATTGTGGCCCCAGAAGTATTTATTTACATAAAGGAAAAGTTTACTTAAAGGAAAAGAAAAATTAAGTAACCTTAAGATGAATACTGCAAATCTAGGCTAGTGTTCTTCAGCTGAGTCGCATCTTCTCACAGAAATTGTGAAGAGCCACCAGAGGCACCACGAGAGACAAAGTTTTATTACAAATCTAAGGAGAAGAATGCTTGGTTCTCTTCTCTGTACACTATTAGCTTGCATAGGCCAATGTTCTCTGTCAACTCCTTGATAAGGTAAAACCAAGTTTTCAAGTTTGTCTGTAATATAATTTCTTTTCTTTTGCAAAGTTACTGGGAAATACTGCATCAAGCCTTAGTCTCTTTCCTAGAAGAAACCTATATCCTTTGTATTCTTTTCCCCACATAAATTCTTAGAGAAAATAGAACAATAGCTGTATGTTTTTTTTCCACTATCCGTAGCATTTATTAATTTTTTTTTTGTCTAGTGATTAATTTCTCCAAATAACATAGATCCTAGGTGCCCCGGCACCCAGTAGCCAATAGGAGTGTAGAACGTGGCTCTCTCTTCCTGCCATTTTTGCTTCCCACTGCTCTTGCTTCCTGCCTCATTGCTCCCACCCTTTCTATCTGGAGGCGATAAGGCCAGGGTCACCTTGGGGTCACCTTCCAGGGGTTTGCTGCCATACAGATGTTCTCACCTCACATCCCGAGCACCTGGCAGAGCTGGGCGTGAGGGACTCATCTCTAAAGCTTCAGTGTTTGAGAGTCACATAAGCATGAGGTGTTCCTTTCAAGGCAGTAGATGTCCAAAAGCACAATTAAAAAAAATTTTGTTTATAATTCTTTATGGTGTCTCCTTCCTCATACCTCTGCCTCTTCAGGGAAAATCTCTTCTGAACTCAATATATAACAGTGTAGCAGTAAAGGAAGACAAACTTGTGCTTTCGTTTCTTTTGAATGAGAGAAAAGGAGGTGGGACTTAAATTGATTATAATGTGGTCATTATTTTCTGTTAATTTAGAAATTTAAAGAAGTGTGTAGAAAAGCTGGGAAAGAAAAAATAGATTGCAATTAATAAATAGCTAATTTAAATGCAGCTGATTTGTCTGGTCTTGAAGAGCTCAAAACCTTCTCAAATTTTTTTTTGTGTGATAAGGTCTTATTATTTTGGATTGGACTGTCTGGGAACTCCATATGGGGGCACGTTTGTGAGAATCACCCGAATTGAATTTCCTGCTTCTTGTATTTATTTTGTGGCTATGTTCATGCATGAGTTGAAATAGCAATGAGTTAGAGCAGCAAGGTTGACTTCTACAGCAGGAAAACTTCATACTGTGCTTGCTTAACTTTTCAACATTTATTGTGATGTTACACCTCATGATGCTGAATAATTCACTGCATTACCTGAACTGCAATGAAACACCAACTGCGGCTTCAGTAGTTTAGGCTTAACTACAGCTTTTCTGCTGTAGTTCTTCAAATGAAATTTGTGAAATTTTTACTTACCTTTTTACTTCTTACTTTAGGAACTGGATACTGGAATAATGAGATCAAGCTGAAAATAATCTTGTTCAAGTGGAGCCTTATATTCTACAGCTAGAAATAGATTCCATTTATTATATTAGCTTATTATAAATGTGTGTTATTGTTATTATCATTATTATAAGCTGTTTGTGAACAGCCAGACTGAGAATTTTAAGCAACTCAAGTTGTCATCATGCTTAGAAGAGCCAAAGACAAACCTTCAGATGTACACGGCTTCTATCCTGACGCACAAATACAGGGTCACTGGCAGCCACATTTTTAGGAATTGCTGGGAAGTGCTAATTGATTGCAGCCAGCAGTCCAAGCTCTGCAAACAGGAAAATGAGAACAAGCTGTCATTTCAGGCTTCAAATGTTTATGCTATTAGAAACATGGTTGAAGTGGTTCTCTTTCTTCCAGGGATTGTAGGTGTATATTTACATCTGCAGCTCATAATTGCAGTCTGCTCCCACTGTACAAGTCTTCTCTATTAAACTGAGCTGCCATAGAAAACAAGTGAAACAAAAAATGTGAGTAATGTACTGGACATTAAATGGAGTTTTCACCTATAAGTCAGCTGAAAAAACGTGATATAGTGCTGACTTATAAGTGGAAGATTTGTGGAAATAAAGGTATTTTCAAAAGTGAATTTTACACTCTCAGCAGCAGAGTTCACTGAAGTAATACTGTGATAAAAGAGAGAGAAAGAAATATTTAAAGGGGTTTAAAATATTACTGGTTACAATACAGAAGTGATAAATGTTAAATTAAAACTGAATTCAGTTGATTCATTACTAGTAACAGCTCAATTTCTCCAGTATAATGGAATACAAAGTAGCTGCAACTGCTAGTTACTACTGTTCATACCATTCAGGGATCAGCTAACAACCCCTAATTACAGGCACCAGGTTATCTCCTGTGTGATAGGGGAAAATGAACTAAGTTGTTCCCAGTAATTACATCTGATTTTCCATCCCTTACTACCTAGGAGAGGGGTTGCTGCCAGCAGTCCAAGGTAGTAGTTTTTCCTCTTTGTGGGGATGGAGATAGTACAAAGGCAATGAAAATCAGAAAAGGTCAGGCTTGCAGGGAGCTTGAGAAAAGCTGACTTTTCATCAGGTTATTTTAGGGGATAAGTCAGGTCACCTGTGTTTCAGAGCCTGCTCTCAGTTTCAGTTGCCCTTCAGAGAACCCATTTTCCCTCTACAGGGAGAATTCTGGGAGATTTTCTTTCCTGGCTTAAAGAATCACAGGATCACCGAAGTTGGAAAAGACCTTCAAGACCATCCAGTTCAGTTATCAACAGTCCACTTATCACCAGTAGTACTGACTAAACCCTGTCCCACAACACAAAATCCAAAGAAAGCCTTTCTAATTATTCCCATTGCACTACCCGCAATGGTTTAACAATTTTGACACTTTTAAGTGTCTTGATGAAAATTTTCTTCTGAAAACAGGAGTTTGATTTTTAAAAATGGGAGTTTGATTGTTTCCCAAGCAGAGCCAGCTTTAAAAGTGAAATACAGAAACAGATAGTTTAATAGGCTGAAAAGAAGATCTGCTTCTTCAGCAAACCACCTTGCACTGTCAGGGATGAGCTGATGCAGAGATCATTGTATGACTACTACTACAAGAGTTTTTCATAGTAATCGTGGAGAAGCATCTTCCACTGGTGGCTTGTTAATCAAATACTTGATGCTCTGTGTCTGTTCCCTTGTGTTCTGCACTGTGTGTTACACGTGAAGTGCTGTAGTAGATTTTTGTGCTCATTTCATAACTGAGTGACATTTGGGTTACATAAACAGTTACAGTGCTATTGGTGTTGGAAAATCTAGACCTAGAGATTCAATGGCACCTGGGCTCCTGAAAGTGTGGAGAGTGTGTACTAAGGTCTTTAAGTCTCCCTACAGATACAGATGTATCTTTCAAAAGGCAACAAGTAGTAGCCAGTTATGTTAAGAAAAAGCATTATTTCTCTCTTTCTCTTGCTAGACAGTGATCCTTCAGAAAAATTTGCTGTGTCACTGCAGTCAAAATACTCAGGATAGAATGTTGTACTTTTCTTGCTGTTGGTATGCAATTTGGTGCTGGGGGAGCCTTGAGGGAGAAGGAAAATGTATTTCTTTCACTAAGGTATCTGAAAGCTTGAAAGGGAAGAACTTTTTTACCTGGGCAAATGATGTTTGCAACTGTTTCACTGAAGATCTCTGATTCAAAGAAGTTAAATATTTTATTTAAATAATATACTATCTGACTAAACTGATAAAACAACGTGAATGAGAAATTCCTTTTTTTGTAAATTTGAAGGCTACCTGTGTTTAAAAACAACAAACAAACAAGCTTAATAATAGCAGAATATCAAATATCTCAAATCAAAATAATTGTAAGTGAAAGACATACTTCTTGACTGCCCTCATTACTCGTGAAACTATTGTTACTTGTCTATCCTTAAGCAAGTCTTAGGTCTTTGCAAGAAATCTGTCTTGAATCTGTTATTTTCTCTGGGATTGAAACTTGCTTCAGTGTGAATGGTTATGTAACTTCTAAAACTGAGGGCTCAGAAAGGCAGTGTATAATAAATGATGGCTATGACCAATTACCTCATCTTTATTTTCCATGTGCTTTAACAGGGCCTTGAGGAGGATCTGTTCCATGACCTTGCCAGGCAGAGGGGTGAGACTGACTATCCTGTAGTTCCCCCTATGTTCTTTTTTCCCTTCTTGAAAATGACACAACGCCTCTATTTGGAGGGAAGAGAACAGCAGAAATATTAATTAGTAGGCTGAATATCAACTCAGATTAACTGAGATTGTGGTGATAGTTTGGGAAAGTAGCCAGCAGAGAAAGAGGAAATAATCTTAGCTTCTCTATAGGAAGAAATATGCCTGCCATTTGCTAACAGTACTCGCTGCTTAGATGTGATTATAATCTCTCAGTTACTATTTCACAGTAATGTCACAGTTGCATCTCAGATAGTCTTGAGTTACTGGTGTTTGGCTAAGGAAATATGACCTTACTTTACAGATGCAGACATTAGCAGTAGCATCCAAGTCTTACTTCCTTTAAGATTAAAATATTTCTAAACATTTAACATTTATAGAGAGACTAATGGAGATTGTGGCAGTTTTCTTTTGGGAGAGAAATTTGACAGGATCTTGATTCCTTTCATATCTGTACAAGCTTCCTGTGACTATGAATAACCAAGCCAGCTCTTCCCCCCCCCCCCCCCCCCCCCCCATGTAGCTGCAGTTGGTATTACTTTGCAGCATGGACTGAAATTATATCAAGACTCAGGAATATGGTTTGATAATGCCCAAGTTTGGTCATGATCTAATCTTGGTGGAAAAAAAACTTTTTATTACTCTTGAGTACGCTGCAAGGGCAGTAAAGAAGATGGTATTTTTAGGGAAAAGATAACTTGTGGGTTACTTATTTTAGGTCTGAATGAAGTAGTTAATTATTTCACTCCATTGTGAGCAAGAGCCATCTACAGATGAGAATTGAAAACTTTCATCTACCTTCAAGCCTTGGTCTCAGATTCATGGCAAAATATTCTTTGTTTATCTGGAAGATATGAACTTCTATTGGCGCAGGTATTCTGTTTAATATCATTATGCAGATCTTACAGAAGTCCAGAAAGTGTAAACTCTTCCTGGCATTTAGAAGCTGCATGAGTGATCTATGCATTTATAGGAAGGATGGAACTGGAATATGTGTCAAAGTACATCCCTGGTTGAGAGCCAAGGACTGTGTCAGCAGAACAATAATACATCATGGTAGCTGTTGATACTGAGCAGTTGTTTTAGAGGAAGGTTATAATTTGCATTAGAATGCAGGGGAAAGAAACAGAAGAAAGCCTTATTACTTTGTCTTTCACTCCCACCAAAGGAAAGAATTTCAGGAATGTCAGGTTAGCATTCCCTCTTCCCTTATTCTCTCCTAATCTTATTCATGTTGCAATTGATTTTTAAGGGGGGGGGGGGGGGGGAAATACATATATATGTGGTGATGAATAAAAGGGATTCTGCATAGTGGTTGCTTTGGGGAATTGTGTCCTACCTCTCTACTGGCATCATAGTGGAGCTCTAGAAGAGCATGGGGTTTTATAAGCTCTGGAAATACCAGCACTAGACTGCTGGGGGCTTCATTTGCTTATATTCAAATGACGTTTCTTAGGACCACAGATATAATAAGAAACCTCAAATTTAAGCAGCTGGTAATGTGAAAAGTTTGGCAATATCATCTGAATTGTACATGAAACATCGCCTCTGGTTAACAGAAGTAAAATGTTAATTTAGTCTTTGATAGAACATATTAGCATGATAACTCACAAAACAATTTTGGTATGCTAATTCTGGAATAAAATGTGTTCTGATTAATGCCTGAATCAATATGAAAACTACCGGATGCCTGAAATGACAAAGCTGATCAAAGCTGCCAAAATTGTGTGGCAAGCACACGAACAGCAATAGAGGCTGTTTCTTTTTCTTCCTGTCACAAACAGTGTGAAATTTGACTTTAAGTGGAACACATTTAAATGTGTAAATCTGAATGTTAACCTGTGTTCTGTTCTTACTTTAATACAAGTATTATTGAGGCTCCCTGGCACAGATTTCACAGCTAATGCTTCTAATCAATTGCCACAGTGTTATGCTCCTCTGAATTGACAGTTCGGTAAGGATTTTCAGTAAGGATGACAGTAAGGATTTTCTTTAGAACTTTGCTCTCTATAATTTCAAAAACTATTGCTGTGTTTTGTTGTTTGGTAAATTAAATTACTAGAGCAAAACATAATTGCCCCTTTAGGGTACGGATGACTCATTGCACTTGTAAGATGCAGAAAGACCTATTGTCTGGAGTATAACACAGCAACAACGTGTTGGATATCCCATTCTGGATATTTTCTTTTTTGTTTTCAATACTTAAACTCTCTCTGACCTAATACTGCATTAAGTACCTGGTGATTTACAAAATGCATAAAAGAAAAGTGTCTACCTTGAGCAACTTGGTGTCTGATAGCACCAATTAGGGGGAGAACAGCGAGGCACATTGTAAAGACTGTTTGAGATACAATCCAAAGTGCTGTAATGTGATGAAAGACTCTAGATTTATTTTCTGAATATTAGCAACCAAGGTGAGCTTATTTCAATATTTCTAAGATTGTTGACTTTTTACATTGTCCAAGATTAAGTCTTCCAGCATGCCTAGAGTATGCAATAAATTATACTTTATTGTAGACATACATGCTTATGGCCTGGAAACTTAAAAACTTCTTTGAAACAGCACTTGAACACATTTGTTTCAGTTATCTGTGGATCTAGGGTAAGCGATCATGGCTGTGTACGCGTTCTTCTGAATTGACTGATGGAGTATTGTTGCAGGTGGCATAATGATGACTGTGATAATGTAAGCTCTCTCCCATTCAAGAGTTCAAAAAAACTGTCACGCTGCATCCTTACAATGTTATGATCATTCTTTGTAATTTACCTGATGTATGCATGGTATGTCTTATTAAAGATATGCTAGCACATTTACATGCAATTAATTCTATACAGTATAATTGCAGTATAGAATATAAAAAAAAATGTAACAGTATAAAGTACAGTAATATAATTACACAGTAGCTTATCCAAGCCTCAAGTCTGTAGAAATTCTTGCATCAATTTCAATGATGAGTGGGAAGTAAATGAGAATATTTCTATATTGCCATGGTGTGGTACTCTCAGGAGGGAGGACCAACAATTGCAACATGTGTCATCCCTTCCATGCTCCAAAGGAGGTCTTTCTAGCTTAATGAGTGTTCAGGGAGTCTGTACAAATGAAAATAATCACTGTGCAGCTCAGAAGATTCCTACTGTGCTGAGATTAGGCACTCTGTGGGGGGAAGAGATTCAAATATTCTTAGCTAGAAGCTGAGACTGAGAGTGCCCCACCTATGGTCTTGTGAGTGATAGATTTACTGATATTAATGGAATGCAACAGAAAGAATAGAGGTTGTGCTGTAATTATGCTCCAAACTAGGATGTTTCAAAGAGGTGCAGTGGAAGGAGGTTGACTGTTTTTGAAAAATTTCCCCAGTTAAGCAGTTTAATAACTTCACTCAACTAAAAAATATTGCTCATTCATAATGTTATGCACCTTCCTTGTAAACAGTGAAAGCAAAGACTCAGCAGTAGGATGATTTGAAGCAGTCACTCCCATTCCTGAAGGAATTACTGGGACCTTTGACATGACTGGAAATGGAAGGAATATCAACAGCCTTTGACATGGTGAGCTCCTTCTTCTGAGACTAAGGTTTTGTACTGTATATGAGTACCATTTTTTATTTTATCATTTCTTCATTTTACATATGGGTTGTACAGACCTGGAAAAGGAAGGGCGTGAAGAGGAATAGAAGAAATGAAGATGAAAGGCACAAAGTGTGCAGAAAAATGATGAGAAGTTTGGTTCTGGGAAGAGAAAAGAAATGAGAGAGAATAAGGGAAAAAAATCAGGGAATAGAGCTTGAAATGATGCACATTCTAGATGGAATGAAAATAAGAAAACAAAATGAAAAAAATAGGAGAAAGGAAATGAACCATATATGTCACTTGCCTAGACTCAGAAGGGGGGCAAATTTTATGTTAGAATAGTATGAGGAATTAAGAATAGTGTTTACCTAGAAACTGTGGAACTGTTTCTTTTGTGGAGCAAAATCACAGGAGTGAAATAATTATGTCTTAGTATCTAGATGTGCATAAAAAAACATGCAGCCAAGCTAAACAACAACAAAGAAAAAAACACACTTCCTTTTCTTTTAAAGATATAACCCCTAGAATAAAAAAAAAAAAATCAAAATATTCCAAACTGATAAATTAATACTGTAATTCTTGTTAGTACGACTTTAATGCTTATAAAAAACAAGTGAAAACGTTGGTTATCTTCTCCAACCTGAGAAACTCTATGATTCCATTCTATGTTGTTAGTACTTTTGATCTTAAAAATATATATATCTTTCTAAAAAAAAAAATTTGTAGTAATTACAAGAGCAACTGTTGTTCAAAAAAATTCTCCTGGCCTGATTGGCTCAGCAATGATTTGGGGAAAACTGCTCTTGGGGTTTTTTAATCCTGTTATTTATTTAATCTTTTTCCTCAATTGTTAATGTGGATTTCACTTAATGAAAGTTATGGTGGCAGAACTCCTTCCTCTTCTCTCTTGCTCCCATTTCATTTTACATATAATTTCCCACAGCATATTATATTGCTCAATTAATAAACACCAGTTGAGTATGTCTTCCTTCTGTAGTAATGATTGCTCAGCCCATTTTACAAGCCACAAATGACCAAAACACTGGTGATATCTCTGTTTAGATCTGGGTTTGAAATAGCTCTCACTAGAACTGTGCTGTCCTCCAAGGCATCCCTGGAATGAGACCATCAAAGCAGAGGTGAGGATAAGAGGATGTTAAGCATAGATTCTGCTTCAGGAGAGGGTGCCTCGTGGGGCTGACTTAGGATGTGAGTAGGGTGAGGCCTCCCTTTACACTCAGGACTCATAATTTCTCTGTGAGACTCTGAGTGAAATAGACTTGCACCATTTCCTTCTCCAGACTAACAGTCATAGCATAGTAGAGACAAGGCTGATCCTAGTGCAGGTCATGACCTCAGACAGGGACTGTCCCAGTGAATCTAACCATAATGGAAAGACAGAGGTGATACAGGAGAACCTGTATGGCATCACCATGGGGCAAATCCTGCTTGATCAACTTAGTGGCCTTCTATAATGGTGTAGCTGCATCAATGGACAAAAGAAGAACCACCACTGATGTCATCTATTTGGACTTTAGTAAGGCCTTTGACATGGTACCCTACATCATCTTTTTCTCTAAATTGGAAAGATATGGATTTGATGGGAGGACTGTTCTATGGATGAAGAATCAAGTTCAGGGAGTGGTGGTTAATGGCTAAATATTTGGATAGAGATCAGTGATGAATGGTGTCCCACATTGGTCAGTGCTGGGATTGATACTCTTCAATATCTTCATTAATTGACAGTGGGGTTGAGTGTACCCTCAGCAAGTTTGCTGATGAACCAAGCTGTGGGATGTAGTTGACACACTAGAGGGACGGGATGCCATCCAGAGGGACCTAAGCAGGCTTGAGTAGAGGGCGCAGGTGAATTTCATAAGGTTCAATAAATCCAAATACAAGATCTTGCAGTTGGGTGCAAGACCTTGTATTTGGATTTGTTGCAAGACCTCTTGCAACTTCCACTACAATTATAAGCTGGGGAATGAAAGGATTGAGCGCAGCCCCCCTGAAAAAGACCTGGGGGTAGCTCCTGTGGATGGGAAGTTTGATGTGAGCCAGAAATGTGCCCCCTGCAGCTGAGAAAGCCAGCTGTATCTTGAGCTGCATCAAAAGAAGCATGGCCAGGAGATTGAGGGAGATGATCCTGCCCCCCTGCTCTGTGTTGGTGAAGTCTCACCTGGAGTACCATGTCCAGATGTGGTATCCTCAGTACAGGAGAGGAATAGACCTATTGGTCTGCGTCCAGAAGAGGGCCACAATAATGCTCCAAGGGATGGAATACCTCTCCTTTGAGGACAGGATGAGAGAGCTGGGGCTGTTCAACCTGGAGAAGAGAAGACTCCAAAGTGACCTGATAGTGGTCTTTCAGTGTCTAATGGAGAGGTACAGGAAAGAAGGGGGCAGACTCTTTAGGGTCTGTGGTGATAGAACAAAGAGAAATAGCTTCAAGTTTAAAGAGTGTAGATTTAGGTTAGATATAAGGAAAAAGTATCTTATTTGAGCGTGATGAGGCACTGGAACAAGTTGCATAGAGATGCATGGAGGTTGCATGAAGATGCGTGGTTGATGGCCCATCCTTGGAGACTTTCAAAGCAAGGCTGGATCAGGCCCTGGGCAACCTGATCTAGCTGTGCATGCTCCTGTTCATTACAGGGGAGTTGGACTAGATGGCCTTTAAAGGTCCTTTCAACCTTAAGGATTCTATGACATGGGATCTGTAACCATCAGAAGCCTTTGACATCAAAAGTGATGAACCTAGGCTGGGGTCCATCCAGGGGCTCCCATCAGGAACAGAAGAATCTCAGCCCGTGAGTTCTATTTCTTTTCTTCATTATTCTGAGAGTGAGTAAAAGGCTATATGCTTTTTAGCTATCTGCAAGGTTAAACTACAACAGCATCACTTATCTGTCCATCTAGATTCTTAAATTCAGAAGACCTTGTGGGAAGACAGAAAAACACTTCTTTTATCTATGTTGTTTGCTACAATTGTGATTAATGAAAATGATATTCTGTTTTTTGTTTTATTCACTTTTTTATTTTTTTAATTGGTTTATAGCCAAGAATATGTTCATTAACTGAAAAAATAGATAGATATAAACAGATTTAAGGCTGATTCAGGTCACTGTGCTAAAAAGTTTTAATAAAAATTCAAGGAAATGTATGGTTTCTCTAGGACATACATGAATTTTAGCCAGTGTAGCAGACTCTCATTACTATTGCTCTTTGGGGTGGCTGCTTGAAATTAGCAGATTTGCCAAACTGCAAGACCAGAAACATCACCCACAGAGAGCTGCTGCATGTACTTCTCTACCTCCTGAAATTATTTGTTCACTTTAAGTTACTGACCTAAGAGCTGAATAGTCCTACCAAACAACATGCTTACGAGAAAATATATTAAATTAATAGGTACTTGCCAATGGTATGCAAGCTTTCAATATGTCTGGGTCATTTTTAGCTGTATATATTTTGTGACTAAAGTATTAATTTCTAGTGACCAGTTCCAACAATTTCCTTAATGTAGATACGTCCAAATAATTTAAGTTCAAGCAGTCTGAGCTGATGAATTGGTCTATTTAAAGCAGACCAATATAATGGAAAAATTTAACTGTTCCTATAATTTGCAATGTATTTCTCCTGGCAGCTAAACATGTTACCTCTTTTCAGAATTAATTGTGTGTGGATAATAAGGAATCACTCTGCTCTTCTTCTTTATAGATTTCTGCTATTCTTCAGGGTTTTCTCTTTTACTTCCATTGAATGTACTAGTTTTATACCATTTGAGTCCTCGTTTTATTTCAGATATTTCCTATGGCATAAAGAATAAACAAAGACAATCACATCCCAATTGTTACAATATGATGTTCAAATAACTGTTCAAACATCATACACTTGGAGGGTTCTTGTTCTTCAGCACTACTGTTTGGCTTCTTTGATCATACTGGTCCATGTAAGGAGGAGCCAGTGCATTTCATCCTACCTTTGCAAATATTGTTATGGCACTCAGAAGCTAGGTGCTGCTTCTGGTGACAGTTGTTTTATTGGACTTAGAAGAACAGCCAATCTCTTTGTGATCACTAAACCTCATATGAAAATTTATTATTTTACACAGGTCTTTCTCAAAGTGTGACATTCCACCTTTCTCATGGGACTTTTTTAGACTCTAATTCCATTTCTAGTAGTAAGGCAGAAAAATCTGTCTCTGGGGAACATATTTTGGGACACTTCTTCCTGAAGTCTGCAGAGAGGTATAAATCTTGCACTTGTCATAACTAGAAATCTGTCTTAAGTTTTGTAATGCATTTTCTGTATTGCTAGTGCCTCTTCTACAAGTCAGGACTTTTCTTCCCATGATCCCTTCGAATGGGCGAGTCTGTTATCAATTTCTTATGTGAAAGATGAAGGTAAAAGAAAGCCTGAAAAGAGAGGAAGAAGGAGTTAAAGATTTTATAAACTTGTTCTAACTTTTAAATTAAATGAAGATAAAAGACAACAAAAATTTCCAAGTGCATAAGGCTGTGGATACTCATCCCTGTTTTATTTCTAGGCAGGACAAACATTAGGTTATCACATGCTTATTCTTGTGGGGGTGGGAATTTCTGTAGAGGTAGTGGTGATACATTGAGACCTGTGAAAAAATTATTGCATGTTAACAAGCATATCTGTTCCTCATAAGGAAACATTCTAGTAGCAAGAGTCCTACTGGTGAACCAGAGCAGCCACTCAGCATAGCATCAGAAAGGTACAGATTTTAGACTTCTGTGGAAAAATCTGCTGATACTTTGTTGGAGAGGATTAAAACTTTTTCTTGTGATAGTCATGTAATTCTGCTCTCTTCAAATCCTAGAAAGATAAAATTGAAGTCTGTTCATCTTTTAGTGTTGCCTATTTAATATATTTTTAAAATGTTTATCAGTAAATGGATTGCCTTCAAAAAGTCCTTCTAATGTTATTTATCTGCTTACTTTGTAGCGTTTTATTTCCCTTACACTGTAAATGTGTGATGCCAATAGTCAAAACTGAGCTTCTATTGAGCTTCATCAATGTGAGATAGAAAAAAGCAATGACACAAGTCTACTCTGAGACTAGAAATAATTACATCAGCATTATTACATTTGCATCATCAGGTAGGGCACAAATAATGAAGAGTTTGTTCTCCTGAACATTTGTAAATATGGCTTATTTTTATTGGTGGAGTCCTTAATGTACTCTGCTGGTGCAAAATTTCTTTTTTTTTTCCTCTGTGCCCTCTCCGTAAAACCTCACAGGAAAGAGGAACTATATAACAAGATCCCCAGTGGGTTGAGTTGACTTCATATTAACTGAGTGAACAGAAGTTATTCAATGCATGTTGCAAAATCTCTCCTTTCTGCCCTAAAGCAGCTGAAATACTAATGCAGAAAAGTTTTCAACTGCAGATGTATTTTATAATACATGTAAGCAACCACTATTCTGTTAACAAATTAAGATAATTTTTGTGGAGTGGCTGGTGAAAATCTTCAATGTGGTCTTACTGTAAAACAAACCATCAGCATAAGAAAGAAAAGTAGCTAATGTGAACCAGGGACAAAAAGTTTTTTGCAGCTCTTAATTTAGAGTGAAGTGACTCAGAATACTGACTTGCAGTCAAAGTTGTAACCTGATCATCCAGAATTTCTTCACAGCATTTCACCTCATGGTTAACAATTCCTATAACTTTTTTTCATGAAAAAAAGAAAATGAATCATGTCTATTGGTAAGAAAGATCTAAATGGCTGATGCTGTGCAGCAACATACTGTTTTCTGTTTCTAGTTGCTTAAACTTCATTTCAAGCATCTGCTCCCTGGCATTCAATCAGTTCCAAACACTGATTAGTGTTTGTCAAAGCACAAGGGGAGGGATTAAAGTAAACAGTTTTAAATAAGTGAAATAGTGAAAACTATGAATAAACAAATATGCATAAAACTGGAGCATCAAGACATTACTCAGGATGGGGGAGAGGAAAAAAAAAAAGAAGTTCTATTTTTCTCTGTCATTGTGCATATATTTCTTAAAGAGTTATCCACTCCAGTTTATTTTTCACAATTCAGTCCTATTCCATACTTGTAGACGTTTCATTGATGTAGTGTGATGCGATGAAAATGTGCTTTCTGCTTTGAAAAATTGCTATTTTTCCTGACTACTCAAAAATGAACAAAATAATTGTGTGGTCATAATTTTGGTTTTCTCCTCTTTCTTTGAAGCAGTAGCTTATTTGAGATTAATTCAAGATGAAAGAAAAATTACCCCACAGTTCTGACTGTTCACATGGGACTTTTAGAAAAGTGACTATGAGGTTTGTGATTGAATTAATGGAATGATCCTATCTGCATCCTCAATACATTCTTTCAGTCTAGTATCTTCCTTTTAAATTTTTGTATTTTTCTCTTTATTTCCCAGAAAATGAAAGCCAGAGAAATTCTGTCTTTCTGTTTCAAAGGGATAGGACAAGTGCAATTTATTTTGGTGAATTGGTGTAGAATCACTTTTAGAATTTTTACTGGCATAGAAACATCTTCATATTTTTTCTTTGAATACATCTTTCCTCTGTTGTTGGTAGAGATTAGCAGTGTTGTAACCCTACTGAATATCCGCAGTGACTTTGCTCAACATGATTTATTTTGTGTAGTTTCTATACTAAGCTATTCTTATTTCAGAGATGATCAGAAAACAAAAGAATTATACAGTTTTGAGCACCTATGGGATTTAAGCATTATATTCTTTCTTAAAACATGTTTTGCTGCACTGGAATTCGGCAAGAACTGTCTTTCCATGAGCTGGAACGAAATAGCTTGTGCTACTGGATTTGATGATTCCAGCTCATACGCAGTATTGGGTAGAACAGCATTTTAACAGTTTTTTTGTAGTGAAGCACACTTATTTTAAAAACTTATCTTGACATTTTAAGATACAGGATGCAGAAGGACAGAATCAACTAAGATTCCTGTTTCTTCTACAAAGAACTAGTATTACATTTTCTTTTGTGTGCAACAAGTTGGCTTTTCTTGTCATTGTTGATTTTTTATTTTTTTTTCCTTTTTGTTTTGAATGTAGAAACAGTAAAGACACAGGCTAGATATAAATGTAGAACTGACTCTTTTCAAATCTCTTAGGGAGGACAAATGTGTTAAGATATACAAAGAAAAAACTTTGTTTGAGATCAACTTCAATTTTTAGCCAGATGGAAGGACAATTCTTCCCTGTTCTGGTAAAACTGCTGGTTGATGCCCAACAGGGCAATAGGGTTGAATCAGTATTGAAAAATAAACGTTATGTCCTGAAATAGGTTGTGGTCTTAGCCTTGTTTCATCTACTGTCAGATTTGGTTTATGACCAGAGATCACTCACTACACATTTATGAACAGGTTGGTTCATAAGAAGGTAGTAAGAGACCACTGTGTTAGCTGAATTGTTCTCTTTGCTTTGGAACTGAACTCAATCAAGCTGCATTGGGCTTTTTTGGTGTACTTTTTTTTTTTGTTGATCCTATTGCACAATTCCACTACAGTCTGTGTGAGATTGCTACACCAAACTAGATCATAAGCATTACTAAATTCAAATATATTGCATCATCTTTTCCCCTGTGTTTTCTAGGAAATTTGTCTTTTTAAGAGTAAAGAAAAATGTTGTGATTAAAACCTCTTTTTGACTAACAGATGTTAGATATTCACTGTTAGTTATATTTGAGTTGTTTACAAACTGATTACTTAAAGATGTATCACCATTAAGTGAATATTTTTCCAGACACCAGTGCTGCATGTACTATTGACTCTGCACCTCCTTTAGTCTTCTCTCTTTCCCTTCCTATCCCTACAAGTTACTTCCTTTTTATTTTTTTTAATTTTTTTTTTCTCCTTTGAGTCCTTATGAGTCTCCCAAGAGAACTGCCTAAACTAGTTGCTTTAAGTGATTCTCAGCAGGCACAGAGAACATTAAAGATCTAATTTATCTAAATGTTGTTAGCTTGTTCTTCCCCTAACATGACCTCCATTCTTTCTCCCTTATTCTTAATTATAAGTGTTAAGTGTTTGATCTCAATTAACATCTTTATATAGAATAAAGCAAAGAAACGGAGGCAAGAAAATTTCAGCTTTTTTTTTTTTTTTTTGGCACCTGTGATACTTCACTTTTCTCCATTAAATAACAAGTCCTTCTTTCTCCCATTTCATTACTGGATTGAATGCATTTCAGAGCACTTCTTGATTGCCTTTTATGTTTTCTTCCAGCTGTATAACTTTTTGTGCCATTGTCTTCTCTGCTTATCTCTCCATCATGTGCTATTCTTCTAAATCGCTTTTTAGCACTATGTCCTTGTTTCCATTATGTACAACTACCTCTCCCCCTCTCCCACTTCCTGATCACTGAAGCTCCTGATGAAGGATGCCTCGCTACATCCATCATCTATTCTCTATAATGGAGCTTACTGTCATCAGACTTTGCAGTCTCATTCTAATCAGCTGTTCTCCTGCTATATATCAAAAATAAAAAATCTATTAAAAAAAGAAATGTGAGAAGAGATTGCAGGAAGTAAAGGCTAGTAATTCCCTAAGTAGTATAAAGTAATAAAAGTCAGAAATGGTTACACTAAAAAAAAACAACTAGAAAAGTAGGTATGAGATACATATTACTGTAGCTTTCGTAAGATAAAATACATCAGTTATTATCAATAAGCATTGTTGTTATTAGTTTGTGTGGAATTAGCCTTGTTCATGGATCACGCTTTGCAAAGTGACTTGTAAATATATGGAAAAGAGCTGAGAACACAGAAGATGACAGATAACACTTTGCACATTAAAAAAATTGTGAACATCTTTTACAAAGATTGAGATAGAGCAATAACCAGGGTGATCCTGTGGACCAATTCAATCCTTGTTTCCCCACAGGAATCTATTAAATCTCAGCTGGTTGCATCTGAACATACAGATCTTCCAGCCTTTACTGCTGAGCAAATCCTTCATTTGACATTTGAGCTTTAAGTATTGAAACCCAGGAGCAAGTAAGTGTTGAAAAAAGTTCTGATTTTTCCATGCAAATTAAATGCTGAAATTATAGTGGCAAATCTTGTACTTGTATGGTGAAATAAAGCAATAACAACAACAAAAAAAAGAACCTTGATGAAATGGGAAGATATGTAAAGAAATCTGACAGTAAAGTGGAGGGGGGGAAAAAAAAAAAGGAGCTTGGGAGCCATTTCAAGGAAGGTAAAGCCAATTGATCAGAATGATTGTTCTGAATATCACCTGACACCTGAGGGTGTCATGGGAAAATCTGTGGAAAGGTAAGGTGACTGAAGTTTTTTCAGTGCAACTTAAAATGTAACATGAGTTTGCTGCATTAGTTAAAGCATTTTTGCTGCCTAGATGCTTCAGTATTTTTTTATTATTTTTTTGTTAAGAATTATAATGTATGGATTGTAAACACTAAATATGTTTATATTTCATGCTCATTTTTTTAAAAACTTAGTTCTGGTATGAGGTATGTTGGACTGATAATCCTTATCTTATAACAACATCATTCTGTGAGCATCAATTCTCCATTTTTAATTCAGTAAGTAACTTCTCACTCATGCTGTTCAAATACAAATGATTTCCCAGAGTGACATAAGCCCTTCATGGCACAGAACATCATCTTATGCAGATACTGCATTGTTGATACAGTTATGCTGTAAAAATATATATATAAAAAAAGCCTATCTACATCAGACTAACCATTTCCTTTGAAATGGAGGTAGCAATTTGAAGGAGCCAAGGGACTGAAAAAATGAGGAAAGCTTAATGCATGAATGTAAAATCTTTTCCCTTGTCTGGATCATATAAAATGAAGACAAAATGCCCTGGGCCACATTCAGGTTGCACTGAAAGTGATGTCTCCTATGTATTTCCATGGGAACTACAACAGATACGAAGAGCACAATAATGCTTTTAGATAGAACAAATTCTCACTGATGACTATCAATGAATGCCGTTTTTTCTGCATGGAGGAATTCAGTGACACATCTTTGCTTCATATTTGCTTCCATAGCAGATGCAATCCTGCCAGACTGCCCCTCTGCTGCAATCTGTGGCACAGCAACAAAATGTAATGGAATATTGGTGGGAAGGTTCATCCTCTACTACCATATCACAACAACTGTCTCTGATGCTTTGAACCAATATAATAAAACAGGAGGCATTACTTTTGGTGCAGCCCTTGTAAACGATATAGTATAGTTTACGTATATAAATAACAAAACATTGTAACTTTTAATATTTTTTTATTAAAACAAAAAGGAGGGCATAAAAATGTAAAACTAGTGAGATATTTGACCTTGTTTTTGTGAAACCAATGCATCAGTCTGGTTCAATGGCAGTGGCTGCAATTCTTAGCCAGTTCTCAAGATGTTCATCAGAGATTTTTGGTGAAATTCTTTTCTCTCTCTGTTTCATTCTTGAAAAAATTTTATTAAAGTATGTACTGTTAGAGAGCAGAGACATGAATAAAGTGTGATGGTGAAGTGAGAGATATTTTTCATTGGTGAGATCTTATAAAAGTCTAGTAAAGAGACATAATCCATTTTTGAGTTGAATATCTGATTGCAACTTTATACTTTCAATTTAAAAATGTGCTGGTTACATATGTGAACTGAAAATATAACCTCAAACACACTACAATGAATAAATAAATAAACCCTCTTCAGCAGTTTGGAAACCTATTCTCAAATTCCTTTATCAAAGCAGAAAGCGGGACTGAGTATTTTTTGCTGTTTATAAGACTGTGTTCAGCCGATGTAGCAAAATGTATGAAATTATTTGCAGTGCTAACTTGAGTTAGCCTGCACTGAGTCTTCCCTATGTCCTGTTTTCAGTAGATATGCTGTTAATAGGACACCAGTGTGTGACTGCTGCTGAGTGACAGATGTGTTCAGTGAAGGATGGGCGACGCAACAGGTTGTGCAGGGCCACTTGCAGCCCATGGGCTGCAAGTGTTTGGTTTTAAGGTTTTAGGCTGATTGCTTTGGTTTATTGGGTCATCAGTTGCCAGTTGAGAACTAGAAAAGAGATAAGAATTACAAAGACTGTGTGTGTACTATTTTTAAACAAACAAGCAACCAGCTAGAATCCAAATGTTGCAGGAGTCATAAAGGCATCACAAAAGATTTCAGAATGTACATTGAAACCAAGTCCTACCCTGTTACAACTGACAGTGTGACCATAGCTATTGAATAAATACAAGAATTAATTATCCTTATTCAAATGCTGAACAAGACAAGAAAATAAATGAATGAGCAAGACTCTGAGGCAAAAGGTTAAAAACAAAAAATAATAATAATAATAAAGAAATTGCAGTCTGACCTCAAAGGGCTGATACAAAATTTGGGTTTGTTTTCCGGTACTGTAGATTTTGCGTAGAACTGGTTGCCATTCCACATATGACCACCAGAGGATCTACTTTCAATACTGCGAAATATTGGAATATGCTAATTTTGCTGATTACTCAGTTTGAATTGTCATGAACTCTCAACTATTTCTAATGTCCAGAGGCACTGCTCCACACTCTATAATTGGCTAGTAAATGCGGTTATCACCTGACAATTCCAATTTTATATCACATCACCTTGCTTCCCCTAGTTGTCTCATTTCCTGTCTCAGTAGTCAATCACTGTTTTAATTGCTGAAATTCTGCCAGAGCAGACAAAGCAAGACTTTGAAGAAAGTCTGGTAGAAGAATTATGCTGACTCCACAGAATCTGTGCTTGTGATCGTGATTGTCTCCAGATGAGAGGCTGTTAAATGTGAGAGAATAGGATGGATATTACAAGAGGGACTAGCAAATATTAAAAGCTGGAAGGAAGGAAGGGGGAAAAAGAGAGAAGAGAAGAGGAAGAATCAGCTCTACAGAGATATCATCTGCTCAGTAGTTAAAAACTTGCAATCAGAAAGGGGGTATGGATGTGACACGAGGAGCTCCACTCAGAGAAGAAATTCCTTAAAAGGAAGGAAGGTAAAAGAGAAAATGTAGCTGAGAAAAATCTATTTATTCTTAAAGGGGATAAAAGATTTTAATTCTTTGGTTTAAAAAAAAAAAAAAACTTCAAATTTACATTTTAGGTCAACCTGATGCAAAATTTGTTTCTTAATGACTTAGGTTATTTAACTCTTTTTTTTTCTTAAAGGCCAGTTTGAAAGGAAAACTGCAAAATTTAAAATGCAGTATCACAAAGAGTTGTTTTCTTGCCTTAGAAAAAGTCTTAAACATAAAGTCGTGTTCAAATTTGAAGTCTTGAATAAATCTGTTGTTATAATTTTGAAGTTAAAAAAAAATCCTCTAATTTTCTTTAGTCAATTCAAAATTCTTGAGTCTTCTGGTTTGTGGAGGCAATATTGTCCTATTTGCAATGGAATTCTCTGTGATGTTGCAATAATCTAAAAATTTACTTCTATTCCCTTGCAAATTCCAAGTTGAGAAGTCTCAAAGGTAATATTTTAAATCTTAGAAATTATGTCTTCATAGAGAAAAAATACATCTTGATGGGCTTTCAAATCCCTGAAATACATTTTATCATATAGAGGAAATAGAGTGCTAAAGATGGATGCATGCAGATATTGTTGTCCCTGTGAGGAAAAAATCGGGAAAGGGTGGCAAGAGACCTGTGTGGATGAGCAAGGAGCTCATGTGCAAACTCAAAGGAAAGAAGAAGGCCCATGAAAAGTGGAAAAAGGGTCTGACTACTTGGAAAGAATATAGGAATGTTGTCAGGGCCTACAGGGATGCGACGAGGAAGGCTAAAGCCCGCCTGGAATTAAATCTGGTGAAGGGGATAAAGGATAATAAAAAAGGCTTTCTTAAGTACGTTAACAGTAAAAGGAAGACTAGGGAGAATGTGGCTCCCCTGCTAAGTGACGGGGGTGTTCTGGTAACGGGGGATGCTGAGAAGGCGGAGATACTGAATGCCTTCTTTGCTTCTGTTTTCAGTGAAAAAGCTCCCCCTCGGGAATCCAAGACCCTGGAGGTTAGTGAGAGGGTCTGGGGAATGGAAGACCTCCCTTCTGTCAGGGAAGAGGTGGTCCGAGAGCGTCTAGGCAACACTAATGTTCACAAATCCATGGGACCTGATGGAATTCATCCACGGGAGCTGAGAAAGCTGGCAGAGGTGATTGCTGAACCACTTTCTGTCATCTTTGAGAGGTCTTGGAGGACAGGGGAGGTGCCTGAAGACTGGAGGATAGCCAACATCACTCCGGTCTTCAAAAAGTGCAAGAAGGAAGATCCAGGCAATTATAGGCCAGTCAGCCTCACCTCTGTCCCTGGAAAGGTGATGGAACAGCTTGTGCTGGATGTCGTCTCCAGACAACTGGAAGAAAAGGAGGTTATCAAGAGTAGTCAGCACGGGTTCACAAGGGAGAGGTCATGCTTGACCAATCTGGTAGCCTTCTATGATGTTGTCTCTGGCTGGGTGGATGGGGGCAGAGCCGTGGATATAGTCTACCTTGATTTCAGCAAGGCATTTGATACTGTCCCCCACGACATCCTTATAACAAAGCTGAGGAAGTGTGGGATAGATGATGGACCGTGAGGTGGATTGAGAACTGGCTGATTGGCAGAGCACAGCGGGTTGTCGTTGGCAGTGCAGAGTCTGGTTGGAGGCCTGTAACTAGCGGTGTTCCTCAGGGGTCTGTGCTGAGTCCGGTCTTGTTCAACATCTTCATCAATGACCTTGATGAGGGGTATAGTGGCCACCCTCAGCAAGTTTGCTGATGACACAAAGTAGGGAGGATTGGCTGACACGCCTGAAGGCCGTGCTGCCATTCAGTGAGACCTGGACAGGCTGGAGAGCTGGGCAGAAAAAAACCAGATGAGGTTTAACAAAAGCAAGTGTAGAGTCTTGCATCTGGGGAGGAATAATTGCATGCACCTGTACAGGTTGGGGGATGACCTGCTGGAGGGGAGCTCTGCAGAGAGGGACCTGGGTGTCCTGGTGGATGACAGGTTGGCCATGAGCCAGCAGTGTGCCCTTGTGGCCAAGAGGGCCAATGGCATCCTGGGGTGCATTAAAAAGAGCGTGGCCAGCAGGTCGAGGGAGGTGATCCTCCCCCTCTACTCTGCCCTGGTAAAGCCTCATCTGGAGTACTGCGTCCAGTTCTGGGTCGTGGAGTCTCCTTCTCTGGAGATGTTCAAGACCTGCCTGGATGCCTACCTGTGCGACCTACTGTAGGGAACCTGCTTTGGCAGGGGGGTTGGACTCTATGATCTTTGGAGGTCCCTTCCAACATCTACAATTCTGTGATTCTGTGATTATGCTCTGCTAGCACAATTCAAGCAGTCTAGGAAAAAAAAAATCATTTGTATTTTTATTTAATACAAATTCATATCATTTTTCTAGCCTTCAGTACCTAAAAGCACAGGAAACTAATGTGTTGGTTGTATCCACAACCGAAGTAAACCAGCCTAACATTTTTGAAGCTATCAGAATAGTTACCATTAGAACAGATTTTATTGCACTGTGGTAAATTTATTATAGTTCTCATTGCTTACATAGGGATGTGATGATCTCTGCTTCAAACAAAGGTTGGTACTTAATAACGTGGGAGGAGTGCTGTGCTTTTATTTTCCTCTCCGTTTCGTCTTTTTATAGTCCTGACCTCTTGTGCAACCAGCTCACATCATGCCCTGAGGCTTGACTTATGATGGAATCTGTGTCTAAGGAAATGTACTGGAGGGGGTTATTTTTATTTCTTAAAAGTATTATAATATGTTCAGCTTCACCGTGAAGTGATACAAAAGTCAGCTCCTCTTTGCAGAGGAAGGTAATGTCCACTGGGCTTTTAAAAGTCTGGATGAGTTTCCTCCATTCTCATTTCTGAATCTACTTCACCTACTAGTGACACTGGGAAGTTAGGAGGAAAAAGCCATGATCCTCTATCTTAAAACTTGGTGGCATGATATATGCCATAAGAAAGACATCCTTTACAAGAAAACTATCAATTCAGTTAGTATTTCCATAAGTGACAGAACTTATGTCAATGAAATCTAGTGACAGTACCCTAATTTCTGTGTGATAGAAAGATTTTGGTTTTATTGAAGATGATTAGGTTTAGAAGCACAAGTTTTGCCTTTTATTTACATAGCCCAGGCCTTAAACAGATTTGATATAGCAGTTTCCCAAGAAGTTGGATATATGACGTGAAGAAGTCTGTCTTTAACCTGCTTATTCAATGAGGTGCCAACTTCACTGAGACTAGTTACTTTGAGAACATTTAATTCCCTCTCCATGTGTAAATACGTTTTGTTTGTTTAAAATGACAATAGGGAAAATGCTACTGGTTTCGTCCTCAGTGTCTGGCTTTAATAAATCCCACCCTTGTCTCCAAATTTTCTTCCTCAGGAAAGCAATGGCTTTCCTGGAGTCAGACCTCTTTTCAGACTGAAGCATAACAAATAACACTGTTTAAAGCCTTTTCTGGATATGATCTCCTGGATTTCTTTTCTCTGTTTTCTTGATTTGTAACATGAATCCAAGTTAACTCCTGCTACAGCTTTGGAAAGCACTACTGGGGTAATGTCCACTAAAACAACATGAAGGAACTGCAATGTCAGCCCAGCACAGTCAACCTAAGAAAAATTATATTCCACAGCAGTAGCTGGTGACAGACTGTCCATTCCTTCTCCTCCTCCTCTTCCCGCCTACTTTATAATAAACTGTTCAGAAATTACTAGCGCTATTGTAAATGTAAGTGCTTCCATTTCAATAGTACTTTACTGCATCATCATTTATTATTTTGACTTAGTGAAAAACAA